TATTTAGAGTCTCTATTTCTTCATCTCTAAACTAATACCTATCTCCAATGAGACCTTGTCAAAACTGAAACAGGTAACACATAGAAAGCTTTCATCACATTCATTGCTATTATTATTATCATCATCATCATCACTGTCATCATTTCTATTTTTATCATTTCTGGCCCAGGACAGTCTGGAGCATGCCACCCTAGGGTTTTTATGCCAGGTATCAGGAGAAAGAAAGAGTGCCTGAGAAGCATACTGTATTCATGATCCATAATAAACTTTGTACTTTCTATATGAGGAGAAAGTCACAGGGCTAGTTTGAGTTTGATGGGGTAGTTCAGGGTGTTGAATCCCATAGCCCAAGGTAAGGGTTCTCTTTCCCAAGGTGTCATTAATCTAATGCAATATCTCACATGGAAAGTTCTCACATTCTAACAGATAGGTTTGGAGTCTCAGAATCCTTATTGATGAGATTTTGATTGCATGCTCAATCAGTAAACCAGTTCTATAGTCACCCTTCAAAATAAAACTAAAATAGGTAAAACACATTTCTATGGATTTCAGGTCTCTGAGGGCCCTGAGATCCGGATAACAGAAAAGCGCTTCTCCACTTAGTAGTCAAGATTGTCATGGTTACCTAATGGTTCACTGAAATTCACAAGTACATTCTCTCTCCTATAAAGCGGTATTTGCATTTCAAAGAAATCTACATTTTTCAAAATTCTCTTCTAAAAATATTTGCTTCAATGGGGCAAATAGAATTAAGGTCTAGAAAAATTGAGACTTGCAATTGTTATTTGTTGCAAGGATTTTAATAATAAAGGTTTTATTAGAGCTATAAGTATGTAGCTATAAAACATAAACTTCAGTGAACAAATTGAGGGTTTGACTACATGAAGCATTTGCTCAGGAGTAATGGCTTTTCTTTTCCTTATCCACCAGAGGTTCCATCATTAGTACAAAGTTTCTTACACATTCTTATCAATTTTTATCACTTTTATCACCCACTGTTTTTTTGGATTAAAAAAACAGCTTAAAGGCATCCCAACCCAGTTGGTGTGTTCTTAAGCTTAAAAGAAAAATACAGGTGATAATGGCTCCTGATTTTGATGACATTAACACCAACCACTCTTTACATAATGCAAAATAGGTTTCCTAATTGATCAATCACCTTATATCCAACCTGAATTATGAAAATATGGTTTTGAGAGAAATGCACTACATAAAGATAGGCCATTAGCTGGTACTTGGGAATCCTTGTTATGTACATTTTTATATACTCTCACATAATATCCTATAACGTGCTGCAATACTTATTATCTCACAACATTAAAAGGTGTAAATCTTAATTATAAATGAAACTGGTTGAGGAAAAAAGAAGGGAGTAAATTAAATTATAGCACAATTTTTCAAAGTTTAATTTATATTATTCTATTATTTAATTTAACTTGATATATTTTTTTATTTTTTTTAAAGATTTTATTTATTTATTTGACAGAGACACAACGAGAGAGGGAACACAAGCAGGGGGAGTGGGAGAGGGAGAAGCAGGCTTCCCGCGGAGCAGGGAGCCCGATGTGGGTGGGGCTCGATCCCAGGACCCCGGGATCATGACCTGAGCCAAAAGCAGACGCTTAACGACTGAGCCACCCAGGCGCCCCTAACTTGATATATTTTTTAATGAGAAAGGATTTATCTAATGACCTATTACTATCTATAGGGTCTTGGTTAATTTTCTTACCCTCTCTGGCATCTGTTAAGTTGAGCAAGGTAAGTTGCCGTTTAAAGACACAAGAATTCCTCCCCAGGCAAAAAAAAAAAACAAACAAATTCCTCTGTTCTGGGAAAGTGTTAGTGAAGATGAAGTAATTAGAGCTTCCTGAACAAGGAGATACCAGTGCCTCCCTCTAACAGTATCTCAAAGATGCGGCAAGCCTCAGAAGAGTCATTGTCAAAGCAGCTCCGGTTTTGACAAAGATTTCTGTTCCTTTAGCATAGAGCAGAAGCACCAGAGCCATGAAGCCTGAAATGAATCTGCAATCTGGAACAATGTGTGTCTCAGCAGACTATGCGACTGGGCCTGCCTTTCTGACACTGTGGCTCCCAAATTTTGATAACACTCAAGGAGTAAAGGAACCATGAGGGCGCCTGGGTGGCTCAGTTGGTTAAGCGATTGCCTTCGGCTCAGGTCATGATCCTGGAGTCCCGGGATCGAGTCCCGCATCGGGCTCCCTGCTCAGCAGGGAGTCTGCTTCTCCCTCTCCCGCTCCCCCTTCTTGTGCTCTTTCTCTCTCTCACTCTCTCTCTCAAATAAATAAATAAAATCTTAAAAAAAAAGGAGTAAAGGAATCATGAAAATAAATGAGGCTGATTTTTCTTCCATTTTAGCAACAGGAGGACCCAAAGCTTAAATTCCTCCAAGGTATGTTCTATCCCCAAGAACTTTGGCCCACATGGATATGAGATTAATGAGAAGCCCATTTGTCAGAATAGCAAGGTTCCCTTGCCTTAACAACTTCCCATCTCTGCTTGGGTCACCTTTGATTGTCTAGGTGACCAACACCTGACCTTTGCTTAGCAACTTCTTCACTACTTTCAAGGAATTTGGAAGTGAGTTGTAAGGCAGTCAATTTAACACCTGCCAAAACCTGTTTTAAATGGGACAGACCTGCACATCCTATGTCTAAACATCCCTCACACTTTGTATTAGCCTCTAGCCTCATTACAGGCAGAATACATTTTTATAAGGTGCTAAACTGTGTGCCATACAGCCCTCCTCCAAAATATGTACACTGAAGGACGAGATTTGATTCTTAGGTTAGAGAGAGAAAACTAGCCTCTGAGGGAAGGGGAGAGCCTCTAAGACAACCACTAGGTGATTAGAGAAGAACAAGCACTCTCCTCTTTTTGTTCCATTTATGGAAAAGCTGGGCATTTTCTGATAAAGTGCAACACAGCTAGTAACGCTGAAGTGAAAGCCTTCTGGTGGGTGGAGCACACAGATAGGAAGCACATTCGCATTGCAAGAATGCTGATTGGCTAATTATAGTAGAGGTAGTAAACGCTATTGATAATCTATCTAGATTCCATTTACTGGGCTAGTACATCCTTCCCCTAGCTCTTCTGAAGGTTGGTTGCTAAGGATTTATGGTTGTACCCTTGTCAGAGGATACCCAGGAGCTAAAACCCCTCTCCCCTCATGCCACCTCACCCATACACCCTGGCTTGCAGTCAGTGGGTATAAAAGCCTGGCTCCTTTGTCCCAAGGTGGATCAACTCCGAGGGGCCCTTCATGTCCCAGAGCCACCCGGGGCTCAGGCTGAGGCTACACTTCAGCTGAACTACATCTATGCCTAGTTTCTTCCCCTGTCCTATGCTGCTCTCCTCACCTCCATACAAATTTCATCTGAGAACACTCCCTCAGTAAACTACTTTCACAAGAATCCCCATCTCAGGCTCTGCTTCTAGGGAACCCCGCTTAAAACACAGGGTATTAATATGTTTCATCTCTATGTCTGTCTTTGTTCTCCGCTTTCCCTTTCTCAGTCAAGTCCACTCTACTTCCTTGCCTCAGAATAACTGTGTGGCAGGACTTTCCAGATTTTGTTTCCCTTGCCAAATCGCAAGTCCACTGTAACAGAGTTTGGGGAGAGAGGGATTTCCCTCACACTAAAGAGAAATCCCCACTCCCACTGGAGGGGGAAAGAGAGAGGTCTTTCAGTCCCTTGAAGAAATGGGACCTCTAGCCTGTTCCCTGGCAGCCCAGAGAAAGGAGTAGAAACTCCAGGTTGATGACCTGGATCCTACCCAGGGCTCCCAGCCTCACCAAATTCCTGTGTCCTCTATGCCAAGCATGGCACAGAAGCTGCCTAACTGGCCCACCTGGAAACTTGGATAATAGTTCTATAACTAATGTGGAAAGATATCCCCTTGTAGATAGAGTTTAGTTTAGTCTACATGTTTTTTTAGAAAATGAAAACCTCTAGTATTTTTTTTACACCTGAGTCTAAGTTTCATACCTGCTACATAAAAGGTCAGCAAAAGGGGAAGAGTATGATTATTATATCTTGTTATTATGAAAAAAATCTATTGCCAGAATGTTTGTGAGGCATTTTCATTAACTAATAAAAGGCATCCCCTGCAATGTGACCTGAAAAAAATAATTCCAGGATAACATATACAGTATGATGCAATATTAAACACACACATCTGCACTTTTACACAGAGAGACAAGGAATGGTAATTATTGATGGCTTATTTTTATTTCCTTCCTTACAGTTTTCTGTACTTTCTAAACTTTTTGTAGGCAGGATTAATGTCTTTTGAATCAGCTGGTTTCTTGTTCTGCTCTCCACCACAGGTCAGTTGGTATATGTAGTACCAGGTGCCAGCCCCGATCACCAGGCCAGCTGCTATCAAGCCCAAATTCTGGGCACGGCCCATGCTGCAGCTGCTGCGATTATCTCAGGGGTCTCCCCCAGACTAGTGAGAACGCGTTGGAGGCGGGAGACTGGAACAGCAGTCAAGTGGAATCTAAGGGGCCTGGGTGTTTGGGGAGGAGGGAAAAAGGAAGTGAGGCGTTGGGCTTCTTCTTTTGCATCCCCACCCCACCACTAATGGATGGACCAGCAGACATAGACAGACCAAAGTCACAAGCAGACAGGAGCAGGAGATGTGGGGACTCAATGCTCCGGTGGGTGCACCAACACCGGAATGTGGGTCCAAGCCCCGACCTTCCCTAGTCCAGATCCAGCGTGTCAGACCTGTCTGCCACCTCACAGTTCCCCCATCTCTCTGCTCCCTGATAACGGCTTCTTCCCCTCTGCCTCTCCAGTCACCTAGGCCAACCATTTCGGCTGCTGTTACGGCCCTGCCTTTTACAAGGCACGCAAAAGGGGCTGGGTTCTGGTGTCCCCGTGGGGAAACACAGGAGCGCTTCCAAAGTCAGCAGTTGTGCTGCTACCCTCCACCCTCACTCCGGGAGTCTTCAGTCAACACCCACCCTCACACCGACATACAGGAATCAGGAACGGTTTCCTCCTCGTCCTCCTCCTCCGTCCGTGCCCACAATCACGCCACCTCCAAGGAAATAGGGAGCTGGTTACCTGAGCGGAACTGCTGTCTGGACCAAGACTTCAGTACGTAGGCTTCTGGTCACGTGAGGCTACGTCACTGGTGAGTTCGGGTCCCAAATTTCCCCTCCTATTATTAGCAAAGCGGAGGGCGACCCGCCCCTTCCCCACCACCACCGCCGCGCGCCCGGCCACTGTCGCTTTTTTTAGTCTTTGCACAGCCAACAAATGTGTTGCCTTTCTGATTACTGGAAGGGCAGCATCTTCTCCTGGGCTACTGGCCAATTCTACTGCTTCTCTGGGAGAATGGTCCCATCATTTTCTCTGCTCCCTCCACCTTGTTTCTTTTGGAATCCCTAAGGTTCTTGTCTGTAGTCCTGAAAATACCTGGAAATGGGGATGGGGGAAGGGGTGTCAGGAAAGGGAGCAGAAAGAAAAAATGAATTTTGTTATTTTCTTGTTAGCACTCTTCTGTTCCTTTTTTAAAACACTAAGTATGCATCCTTTTTATTATCAGAAAATATGAGAGAACTATATTCATTTAAGAAAAAAAGATTCACTTAAAAATGACATATATCATAAACAATCATACTTACTGCATAATGAGTTTTGCACATGCCACTCAAATCAATCTTAATTTCTTCTACATCTTGTCACATGACAAGATCCTGATTTAGCGAATCAGAGGGTTTACAAATCTACTAATATGGTATAACCAAGTAAGCTTTATTTCTGGAATGCAAGAGAGTTGTTCAATGTTCAAAAGCCATTCATTCATTTATTCAACACATTTACTGAGCATCTACTACATGCCATGTGTTGCTCTTGATGCTGTGGCTACAGCAATGAATAAAACAGACCTCAATCTCTAATCTCATGGTCCTTACATTGTAGTCAGAGAGACAAACAACAAACAAGATAAATAAACAAAATATATAGTATATTATTGTTAGTGATACCTACTAAAAAGAGAAAAATTAAAGGCAGAAAGGAAGATATGAAAAGTTGAGATGGGTTGAACATTTAGATAGTGTGACCCGAGAAGGAATCACTACGAAGGAAACCTTTGAGTAAAAACCTGAATTCAATGAGGAATCTAAGTATGGTGATATTTTGGGTAAGAATATCCTAGGCAGGAGAACAAAGAAATGAAAAGGCTCTGTGAAGGCAACAAGCCCAGTATATTCCAAGAACATCAAGGAAACCAGGATGGCTGAGCTAGAGAGAGAATAATAGAAGATGAAGCAGAGAGATAAGGTTGAAGAGAGTAGGGTCTCTAAGTTATAGTAAAGACATTTGCATTTACTCTAAACATCAGGGGAAGTGGGGGTGGGGGAGAGCAGAGTTTGAACTTGAGGGATGTGTTGAGAATAGACTATACGGATACTAGATTGGCAGGGAACCCAGTCAATCTATACACTTTTTTTTTTATTATGTTATGTTAATCACCCAGTCAATCTAAATCATTCATTGCAACAGCAAGCCAAAGGAGAAAAGAAACCTTTCAATTAAAGTATTTGATAAACTTAGTCATTCCTGAATATTAAAAAACTGTTAGTAAAATAGGAATAGGAGGAAACTTAGTTTATGCAGTAAAGAATTATATATAATTTAACAAATCATTCTTGGTTATGTTAATTCAGATATAAAAGAAAATATCCTTATCTTGATAAAGAATATATCAGAGGATCTTCTGACCTGGCGGATTCCTCACTCCTTGTGGGCTACCAAGACCACAGAACTTATGACTTGGCTCCACTCACTGACATTATTTCTTCGTATTGCTTTTTTTTTTTTTGCAGTACTGGTAAACATAAGTGAAAATAACCTTAGAAAAAAGGGAGAGAATAACCCTGGTAAATACAACTCCTTATTGACAATGTATCCTATTTCCAGTCTTTCCAGTTATGTCCTTCTCTTCCTAACCAGTATCACATTTTGGTTTTTGCCATTGAGAACCTTGTTGGGGGCACTTCAGGTAGTAAGGCCATAAGTAATTTGTCTTTCCTAATCTATCTTTTTCTGCATTTTTACAACGAGCAAGTATTTTCCTAATCAGAAAATTGGAACTCAATGATGCAATTATTTAATGCATGGAGAAAAAGCTTGGATATGAAGACATCAAAGTGTGGCAATCTCTACATGGAAGTTTTATGGGGAATATTAATTTGTGTCTCTTTCTTTTGTATTTTTCAAATGTTCTATGAGGATTTAGTAATTTAATTCCATGACAAAGTTGTCAACTTGAAAAATTTTGTAAGAGCTCTCCTCACTATTAAAACATTTACTCATACATGTTTTAAAAAAGAAAAAGAAAAAAGGAGAGAATATGTCAGAAACAGCAAAAGTTACACTAAATGATGAAACAAAAGAGGCATTCCCATTTTCTTCAAGAATAAGATCAGGAGGCTCTCAGGCACCACATCACTCAACATGGTTCTGGAGGTTCTGATCAACGTAGCACATGCAGAAAATAAAAGAAAAAAGTATAAATATTGGAAAGGAATAAATGAAAAAAATCATCATTTGCAGATGATCATGTATAAATACCTGGAAAAAACAAAGGATCACCTGAAAACTATTGGAATTAATAAGATAGATCACAAAAATTGGCAGATACAAAATAAATATATAATAGTAGAACATGTTCCTCAAACAGAAAATTCCCTATCAGAAATTGCAATTGGACAAAGAATAGCATTTCAGCAACAAAGACTACTAAACACCTAGGAAAAACCTAACAAGTAATAGGAATTATTTAGCTGAAGAAACTTATGAAATTTGATTAACAAACATAAAAATAGATCTGAACAAAATGGAAACATACCATATTCCTGGAGGGGAAGTCTCAGTTTTAAGATGTTACTGTTTCTCAAATTAATTTGCAGACTTATTACAATTACAATACAAATTCCAAATGCTTATTATGTGTTTAGTGTTGCTCAATCTGGAACTTGATTAATAACCACAAGTGCACCTGCTAATATGTGCATATAAAGGACAACGGAAATTGTTAGCTGTGGCTGAGAGTGGAAAAGATATCACAGAGCTCTTTCTCTGTATACTTTATATATTTATTATTCTGAATATTTTTAACCATTAATATATGTTATTTTTTTCAACAGAAAAGAAAAAAAAAACAAGAGTTTCCTAATCTGGATTATTATATATAACACTCTCTAGGCCATTGTATCAGTTCTTAATATCTAGGGGAACAGTCACAGACCCTTTCAGAAACTGATGAGGTCAGTGACCTCCATCCGCCTTCCCCCAAAAATGCACTTAGCTACACATACACTCACAAACAAAACCCTGTGTACAATTCCAGATACAGCACAGAAGTGGTCAGCTGAGAAAGCCCAGTCTAGGTTAATCAGTATGGTCAGTGGGGAGACTCCCTGGGGCCCCCGGCATACATTTGGCTGAGGGGGCAGCAGAGGGGGCGTGGGCTGCAGGCAGTGACCCCGCAGCAAGGCTAGGTTCTCCCAGGGTGCCCTGTGGTGAGGAGGCCAGACGTAAGAGGCCCAGCTGGCTGCACCTCTCAAGCCAGGTGGTAGCCCCCGTGTTAGGAGCCATGTTAACTAAGGCACCATGAATGAGGGCAGAGCAGGCAGACCTGGGGGCTTCCCCCAGGCAGCAATCACTTCTTCATGGAAACCCACAGCTGCAGAGCTATGTGGGAACAGCAGTCCCTTCTATGTATCCCTGAGTCACATCCCTGGGAATTTGGGGGGAGGGAGGGAGAAAGGGAAGAAGCCAGAGACAGTGACTCAAGTTGGTCCCCTGAGTAAAGGTGGCGTTTGCCATCTTGGTCACCTGTCCATGTGTACTTTTAGAGCGAGCGACAGAGTCAAGTGGCTGAATGCAGGGAATAAGAGGCTGTGGAATATGGGAGGAGGTGGAGGGTCAGCACCTCCCCCACCGTTGACAAAACAGGGGGAATTTGGCCATCTCTGCATCCCTCACTTGCGTCCTTTCCTTGGCCTAACAGATCTTCTTTTTGCCTGGAGCTGAATCACAAAACTGGAACCTAATCCAGGGACAGGTGTTCAAAACTGTCATGGTTACAGCCATCAAATTACAGGAGGTTCACACAGCAGTCAGCAATGGTTTGGGAACATTAAATAAATGTGTTTCTCTAACAGAACAAGACAGGATCGTTTATTTATCCAACTTAAAAGCTGTCCCAGAAGGAGAAAAAGTAGGATATTATTTGTCCAAAATAAATAAGATTGGACAACTGAACATCTCTCCATGGATCAATTTACAGATCACATGAAAATATGCTTATCTTGTTGAGGAAAATTCCATTTTTAGATGTTCAAATACCTTGGCATGTTTTGAAAACTATTTCCTATGGGGCCAATAGAATTCATTTTCTGTGTGGTAAAAATTAACTAAAATTAATGGTGCCTTCCAATATTAGTGGGAAATCTCTATAAACCATGCAGCTCGTTTTTGTTGCTGCTTCCCACACTGTGGTATTTTCCTCCTGTAATAATAAAGGGTGGTGATCTCTTTAAAAACAAATCGGAGAAGTGTTACAAAAATACAGACCCCATTCCCACTCCTTGTCTCGTTTCTGACACTCTGCCTCTTACCTGTACTGGAACAGGGGCCCAACTGCAAGGGAAACGGTGGGCACCAGTGGATGGGGGATTGAAGGTGGAGCGAAGGGAGAGTGTCCAGTTGCCCAGGAAAGAATGAAACGAATGAAAGACACACAAAAAAGTAAAACTTGCCAATAGCCCTCCAAGAGGATGCATCCCATCCCGGTATCTAGAAAAAGGCAAATTCTAACACAGGGAGAAGGGGCTACTTTTGGCCTCTGGGACTACAAAGACAAAAAAAAAAAAAAATTGAGCGACAGGACCTGATGTGGTGGGGTGAGGTGGGAGTGGGGCTAAAGGAGGGGGCTCATGCTCTCGGTGGGAGTGGAAATTGGGGACCCACGCTTACTGGCGATGCAGCTCTCACGTGACCAGGAGCTGACGTGGGCAAAGGTACTTAAAGCCCTGACTGCCGTCCTCCGTCCTCCTCTGGGTACCAGCTCTCTTGCGCTGCGCACTGCCGTGCGTTTAACCCAGGCGAGGAGGAGGAGGAGAAAATTCCCCCAGATCCGGGCAGGTGGGTGTGAGGGTGGGCATAGCCTGGCACTCCTGAAAGGGGTAGCTCAGAGATGCGGGAGTCTGAGGCCGCGGGTGCCTCTGCCTCGCCCGCTCCTGGCCGGCTTTCCAGATCCCCGCGCTCAGTCGCAGCTCATTTTGGTGGGCGGCGGGGAGGGGGGGAACCTAAAGACTCGGATATACTTGCGGAGAATCCGCTTACTTCCTCTCCCAGACAGTGTTTTCTGGTTTTGTTTTTGACACTCAGGCCCCGCACCCCACATCCCGTCCTGTTTTGAGAGGAGGAGGGAAGAGAAATAAACGTGGCAGCGCATATAAGGCCAGCGGGGTGGTTGGGCAAGGGTGACCGGAGGGGACGCAGTTTGGAAACAAGCCGGCCCGGCCCGTTCACTCTCACTCTCACTTTGCTGATACCTCCCCCGACCACCTCTCCACTTTCCCTTCTCCCCCCCCCCACCCCGGCCGGCCCCCTGTCCTTTGGGGGTGCTGGAAAATGGGTGTGCCAGCCTCTGGAGGGGAGATGGCGGGTTTGGCGCTGTCTGGGCTTCACAGGAGGGGGGGACCCTGAGAGAATCTGGTATTAAACCGCTGTGCTAACTCCCAGACTGCTTTCCAGACACCTCCAACCCACACAGCCCTTCACCCCCGTTTATTCAGTCCTGGAAAAGGAGTTCTGGTACGCTGGAGGGAGACATGGCGGTTATTAGGGCATTTGGGTGGGGGGGTGGGAGGCGGAGCCCAGAACGGAGAAACAGTGGAAAATCACGACCCTCGAACCGAAAGGTCAGACATCGGGGCCCCTGTTCTGTAGGCTTATGCTAGGTCTGGGGGCTGGGGACTGAAGGACGGGTGGTCATGGGAGGAAGACACTGGATTGTTGGGCAGTAATCCCTCATCCCGCGTCCCATCCAGCTTTTGCTGCACCCTCGCCCCGCCCCTCCCGCTTCGGTGCAGGAGAAGGGGTGTGGCTGTGTGTCCCGGAGAAATGGCGGACGGGCGGGGCGGGGCCAAAGGAAGGAGGGGTTGAGTGCCTGGGGAGTCTGCGCAGGAGGGGGGAGATTGGTGTGGGATGGGAGGGGTAAGAAGAGTTGAGGGAATTGAGAGGTTGTCATTCTGGTACGCGAATGCTAGAAGGCAATTATGGGGACTTGGGTGCTGGGTCTCCATCCACCGGGCTCTCAGTCTCCAACCTCTGGTGTCTATATTTCTGCCCTTCAGTCTGTCCTTAGGATGAAGCTTTCACTGAACTGAAGGAAGAGGAAACAGCCCTGAATCCTTGGAGGTCAGTGGGTGGGGGGGCGGTGGGAACTGTCTGGGAAGCCCTGGTGTGGGTATGGCAGAAACCAGAGCAGAGTCTGGGACCAGAGGCTCCTCTTCCCCCCATCTTCTCCCTCTTTACAAGACACCCTTGCCTCGGGCTTGTCCTTTTTGGTGCAGAGAAAGGGGTGTGGCATCCGCCTTCTTAACTACTGGTTTGAGGAGGAAGGGTTAAGGAGGGAAAGAGATCCCTGAGAGGGGAGAACTTGGCCCATAAGGATTCAAATCAGGAAAGGAAATGGAATCCATCTACCAAAGACCCCAAAACACCCTTTCTGGGTTCTGTCTGCAGGTCTGTCTGAATTGGGGGCCCTGCACAAGTACAAGCCTGGTGGAAAAAAGTTAACTGCTCCTGCTCCCAGCAGGTTGGTATGTGCATGAGCACCATCTGGGAACCCTTGGGGGTGCCTGTGGTGGGGGGAGGATCAGAGCAACATCTGGGGTCTCTGCTGTTTTTCCTGCCCTTCACCAGCTTTCCTAATGTCTGTACTGCCTCTCATCCCCCATTTAGGGGCTGGGAAATTGTGTATTGGCATTGGGTAGGGCCAGCTAGGGATGAAGGTATAGAAAACCTTAGACAGCCTGGGTCCTGTGTCTGGGTACTAGCTCACTCACCAAGCATTCTGTTTCCAAGCTCTCCTCTACGTAGGCCTGCTTAAGCACAAAGTGAGCCAGAGCCTTAAGTCCCATTTCTGTTCTTTCTCCCAGGTCGTGCTCGGCTTGCAGCCTGGGGAAAACCTGTGAGCCTGAGTGGAAGTGCCTCGCCCAGACGTGCACACATCCCGTTTAGGCAAGCCAGCTCCACGCCCTGGATCAGAGAATTACTCCAGCTGCACCATGAGCCGAGTTCGAGACGCTGGCTGCGTCGCGGCCGGGATAGTGATTGGAGCTAGTGCCTGGTACTGTGTCTACAAATATGCCAGGGGAAGAAACCAGACAAAGAAGAGAATGGCCAAGCCCAAGACCAGGGCTGTGGCTGGGACTGGAGCCAGGGCTAGAGCCGGACTAAGGGCCGGATTCACCATTGACCTGGGGCCGGGATTCGGTCCTCCAACCCCAGTCCGCACTCAGGCAGAGGACAGGGCCCAGGATGAAGCCTCTGCTCTGGACGCAGCTGGCGCTGAGGCAGTGGCCCCAGCTGCACCCAGTGCTGAGGCTCAGAGTGGGGCCGGAAATCAGGTCCAGGAGGCAGAAGGGTCAGGGGTTGGGCCTAAGGCTGAACCAGTCGCCGGGGCCACAGCGGCTTCCTCAATGGCATCACCCCCCGGGGAGGCAGAGGCTTCCGTGGCTGCAGAGGCCCCCACAGTGGCAAGGGCTCCCAAGCTGCCGGAAGCCCCTGGCACAGCAGAGGCCCCCGGGGGGCCCGCGGTGCCTCCCGGGGCGCCAGCGCCTACCGAGGCGGCAGCAGCTGCAGAGGCTGCGGAGGCTCCTGTACCCGCAACCCCTCCTGCCGCGCCAGTGCCTTCTGGGGCTGCAGAGGCTCCTGGGACTTCAGGATCCCCCAGAACAGCAGCACCCTCCAAGAAAGCGACCCCTGGGGCTCATACCGGCGCTATACCCAAGGCTGGGTCAGCGACTGGAGCTGTACCCAAAGGTGGAGCCAAGGGAACCAGGTCTCGGACTGGGGGCAAGGGCAAGGGCAAGAAAAACAAGGTGGAAGTAGATGAACTGGGGCTGGGCTTCCGCCCTGGGGATGGGGCTGCAGCGGCTGCTGCAGCCTCTGCTAATGGGGGACAGGCTTTCCTGGCAGAGGTCCCCGATTCTGAGGAAGGGGAGTCCGGGTGGACTGACACAGAGTCGGAGTCAGACTCTGAGCCTGAAACCCAGCAGAGAGGGAGAGGGAGGAGACCTGTTCCCATGCAGAAGCGCCCCTTTCCTTATGAAATAGATGAGATTCTCGGTGTCCGAGACCTCAGGAAAGTCCTTGCTTTGCTTCAGAAATCGGATGATCCTTTCATCCAACAGGTAGCTTTGCTCACTCTGAGCAACAATGCCAATTATTCATGCAACCAAGACACAATTCGCAAATTGGGAGGCCTCCCAATTATTGCAAACATGATCAACAAAACTGATCCCCACATTAAGGAAAAAGCCTTAATGGCCATGAATAACCTGAGTGAGAACTATGAAAATCAGGGCCGACTTCAGGTATACATGAATAAAGTGATGGATGATATCATGGCCTCCAATTTGAACTCAGCAGTACAGGTAGTTGGACTAAAATTTTTAACAAACATGACTATTACCAATGACTACCAGCACCTGCTTGTTAACTCCATTGCAAACTTTTTCCGTTTGCTATCTCAGGGAGGTGGAAAAATCAAGGTTGAGATTTTGAAAATACTTTCGAATTTTGCTGAAAATCCAGATATGTTAAAAAAACTGCTCAGCACCCAAGTGCCATCGTCCTTTAGTTCCCTTTATAATTCTTATGTGGAATCAGAAATTCTTATTAATGCCCTTACTCTGTTTGAGATCATCTATGACAATCTCAGAGCAGAAGTATTCAACTACAGAGAATTCAATAAAGGTTCCCTGTTTTACTTATGCACTACATCTGGAGTCTGCGTTAAGAAAATTCGAGCCTTAGCCGATCACCATGACCTCTTGGTGAAAGTGAAGGTTATAAAACTAGTGGACAAATTCTGATTGGCTATGTGCTCTCAAAAGACTTGAAGAAATTTCTTGATTTTCCAGTCTGGAAGCAATGAAAATTGAAAGTTACTGCTTTTCCACTTGTTCATGTAATAAAGGGATCCTTTCAGCTGCCAGTTTTGAATAATGTATCATCCAGAATGATGTTATCTGTGACAGTCTCCAGCTTTAAGCTGAACCATTTTATGAATACCAAATAAATAGTCCTCTTGTACTGAAAACACATTTGTGACTTTAATCGTGCTGCTCGAATGGAAATATTTTTACTGGTTCCTCTATGTGAACTGACAGTGAACCTGTCCATCGAAATAGCCTACACTTCTGTCATTTGTTTTGACTTGAATTTATCCACCAAAGACTTCATTTGTGTATCATCAATAAAGTTGTATGTTTTGACCGACAAAAAAAGTGTTCTCATGTTTTTAAATCTAGCTGGTGAGGTAAGGTACATAAGTACAAAAGGATTACTAATAGCACCTGGGCATATGTTCACTGTCAAATATATGCTGTCTGGTTAAATGAAGAAGTTGCTAGAAAGCTTTAAGCTGGGCTCTGAAGGGACAGCATGAAAAAACACAGAAGAGATTTCAGGTGGGGAAAATGGTTTGAAGATAGTCAGGTGGGAAATCCGTTCCTGGGGTAAGAAGGTAATCAATTTGCCTGAAATGGAAGCTGTCAGAAGAGAAGTGATGAGAGAAAAAAGTGGAAATCAAGGGTGAGGCAATTTGGGGAGAGATCCCAAACCCCCAGCTGAGATTGAAATACCCTGACATATCCTGGGAGTTACTGGACATTTTTGACAAAAGGAAAAATAATCTGGTGGCAATGTGCAAAATGGACTGGAGCTGGGATGCAGTTAGGCATCAAGACTGCAAATGAGGGGCACCTGGGTGGCTCAGTTGGTTAAGATCCCAGGGCCCTGGGATTGAGCCCCGGCTCAGGTCATGATCCCAAATTCCTGAGATTGAGCCCCGAATGGGGCTCCCTGCTCAGTGGGGAGCCTGCTTCTCCCTCACCCCACCCCCCACCCCGCTCATGCTCTCACTCTCTCATAAATAAATAAAATCTTTTTTAAAAAGACTGGAAATGGGTTAGCCTGTGATGGGTATTAAAGAGGGGATGTACTGAATGGAGCACTGGGTGTTATACGCAAACAATGAATCATGGAACACTACATCAAAAACTAATGATGTAATGTATGGTGATTAACATAA